AATTTGTTTAGAGCCTTTTTTTAGGTATTTGGAGGGCTTTGGGAGAGAGCTCAAGATAGTCACTGCTTTCCCTCTGCCATCTTGGCTCCACCCCCATACTGGGATTTAAAAACCAACATTCTTTCTAAAGTCTTTCCTTAATAGAAACAACTTGTATGCAGGAATTATGTACAAAATATATGCAAAGGAATTTTGGGAAGGACACTAACAACTGGGGGGAATAAGACAGGATTTTTGTAGTAGGTTGTGCTGAACTTTGAAGGAAAGCAAAGAACTACATAAAGCTGATCATTTGAAATCAAATTCAATTGATTCAAAGAGCACCTACCATGTGCCAAGCATTGAGGATACAAAGATGAGAATGAAATAGTCCCTGACCTCAAGGAACTTACATTCTATTGTAACTCAAAGGAGCTAAAGAGATCACCGAAGACAAGGGCACGGAGAAAGAAAAGTGGGGCTACGACACAGCCTTGGGAAACTCCCACACTAAGCTGGCAGAAGGGTGATGATCCAGCAAATGAGACAGGGAAAGAATGATCAGACAGGCAGAAGAGAGAGTAGTACCAGGGAAGTCGAGTAGAAAGCAGTCAAGGAAGCCACGAACAATGCTTCTTACATAGGAATCTACCTCGGTCATTCCTCTGCACAAAAATCTTCAGCAGTTTTATGACTTCCCAATTAAAGTTCAAACTCTTCAGTCTGGCGTTCAAGGCCCTCTACAACCTTCCCTCACCTTCCAGCCTTATCTTATTGCTCTCTACCATGCATTCTATGCTCCAGCCAAAGTAGATAACAAACACTGTGCCCACAATACCTTCCTCTTCCTCCTTATCTGTGGAATTTTTACCCATCCTTTGTCTCCTTTGCTTGTCCCTTGTCTTCCTGACTCCTTCAGGTGAGTATTCCCTAAAGATCTGTGTCCAAGGTGTTCTCTTTTCTACACTTGTCAATCTCACTTACTCCCACAGTTTCAAAACTCTCATCTGTGCAGGTGACTCCCAAATCCTTATCTTCAGCCTTACCCATCTCAAAGAGTTCCAGACCAACATCTCCAATTGCCTAGAGTATTATCTTTGCCCAGGTGGACATCCCACTGGCACCTCACCTCAAAATGGTCAAAACTGAGCTTATTATTTCATCCAAATTTGCTCATTCTTCTGACTTTGTTATGTTAATCAGTGGTACCACTAGTCTCCTGTGGTTGAAAGCTGGAACTTTTGATCCTTCCTTTTCCTTTCTATCTCATAGCCTTACCATCCCAGAAATGACTCTCACACTTGCTCCCTCTTCTCTGGTCTAATGTGGGGATTAAAATTGTCCAACCTACAATTAAAAGAAACTGAGGCAGAGCTCGGAGCCAATGACACTTTATTAAAGGGTCCATGGTCCCCTCTAATGAAATGGACCTCAGATCTGCCTCATGATCTGAGATGCCCCCTTCTTCTGGGATCTTGTATTTACAGTGTTTGATACCCAAATATGCAAAAGAGGCATGGCAAAATACAGAATCCCAATGGTTGACACATACATAGACTAAAATAAGCAAAAGTGATCTGTCAGTAGGGTCACAATTTGGCTGAAGCCAGGAATATCTCCACTGACTAGGTGGTCATAAGATGGATGGGCTCCTCCTTAAGCTAGGCAGGAGGAGATGGTACAAGCTATACATATGCTCCAAGAACATATGGTGGTGGCGGTGGTAGTGGTAGTGGTGGGGGGAACTTTCTATATCATGCCACCACCCATATTTGGTTTGGTCTTGGAATTTGAGCAGAACAGAATGGAGATATCTTTGTCAGCATTCTTGTGGTTGTAAAAGTGAGCTCCATAGCTGGTAAACAAGTAATGAACATTATATTAAAGTTTGAGGCCTATTACAGGACTCTCCTATTAGACTCTATATTCTCATGTAACTTATATAAAGTATGGATTAATACGCTGCTTATTCTTATACCTATCATTAGGTGATTGATAGATATGTATTACTAGATGAATATGTTAAAATAATTACTAATAACCATTACCCCTTATAAAATCATAATGAACTAATACTGATTAGAGTTTGAGTAGCGGTCCTCAATGAATTGTTTCTCTCACTAAATGCCACTACTCCAATACAGTTTCTTCATAACTACATTGCCTCCAAATCCACCCATCACACTGCTGCTACATTTATCTTCCTTATGCAGAAGGAAGCTGTTCAAAATTCTTCATTGACATCTTACCACCTACCAGATAAAGTTTAATTTCTTTAGCATGGCATGTAAGGCCCTTCGTAACACAGCACAACCCTACTTTTCTTTTACTTTCCTTTGTTTAAAATTCAATTTTATTTTATTTTCAGTTCCAAATCTTTTCTTCCCTCTTCCCTCTCCAATTGAGAAGGCAAGAAAAACAAAACTCATAAACATGTATAGTTATACAAAACAAATTCCAGCATTAGCTATGTTCCAAAAAAGAAAAAAAAATTGAAGAAAACACCCTTTATTCTGTACTCTGAGTCCATCAGCTTTCTACCTGGAGGTAGATAGCATTTTTCATCATGAGTCCTTTGGAACTCTGGTGATGGGTCATTGTGTCGATTAGAAGTCTTTCAAAGTTTATTATCTTTACAACATTGTTATTACCGTATAAAAGGTTCTCCTGATTCTATTCATTTCACTTTGAATCAGTTAAATCTTCTCAGGTTTTTCTGAAATTGTCCCCTTCATCATTTCTTATAGTACAATAGTATTCCATCACTTTCATGTACCACAACTTCGTTCAGCCATTCCCTAAGTGATAGGCATTCCCTCAATTTCTAATTCTCTGCCATCATAAAAAGAACTGCTATAAATATTTTTGCACATATGAGTCCTTTCCTCTTCCTTTGATCTCTCTGGGGTATAAACCTAGTAGTGGTATTGTTGAGTTTAATAGCTTTTTGAACGAATTTACAATTTGCTTTTCAGAATGACACTCCTACTTTTCTAGCCTTGTCTCATGCTATTCCTCTCCATGTACTTTATCCTCCAGCTGAGCTGGACTACTTGCCTTCCCTCATATATGCCTTCCCTTCATGAATTTGCTCATTTTTTCCTTAGGCCTACAATACCCTGCTCTACTCCCCTGCCTCAGGTCACTCTCTTGTGCTCATCCCCACCTACAAGTGTGCTGAATTCTCAATCATCCTTTATGGCCCAGTTCCAGCACCCCCACCTCTGTGAAACTGTGGGTTACTAGAAAGGCCTTTTGGCTTAGGAGTCAGGAGATCTGCATTCCAGTTTCAGTTCTGCCATTGACTAGGCCGTCCTCCACAGTTCAAGAGTACTTCTGTTAATCGTGGTCTTGTGTTGGGTGTTGGGAGGAAATGATACAGCTTAGTCATGTTTAGTTATGTTATGGTCCTAGAAGGAAGGTACAAAAACACCATGTGAGGTCTCCCATGACTCCTCACATTTGGTAATGAGCACTTTTTACTTGCTCCTCTCTTCTACACAAATAACTATCATATAGAATCAGCTGTGAGCCCTGATCACAGCTGAGGCAGTAGAACCACCAGGAAATCAGGGTTTTAGGGAGGACCTCAACATCAAATTCCCCAAGTATGACAGCAGAGGTTGTAATGTAAAGGAAAACTGTGAGCCAGGTACCGAACTCCTTATGAAAAGAAAGAGTAAGGTAAGTAGATGACTGCACTAAATCACTGGATCAGGTGATAAAGATGGGGTGTGCTGGAGCTAGCTTTGAACTGGCTTTGTGAGAGCCGACTGTTAAAATTTCACTGTAAGCAGTTACACTTCAGATGCTACAAATGAGAGCTTGATTTATTGCTTTGTTGATTGTCTAGACTTAACAAAATAATGGAGAAAATGTTAGTAATAATAATAAAAAAAAACTTTAAAATGCGTCATGCATCTAATTTCCCCCAGAGAGCCCGCTATTCAACATTTACCAGCATACCCCGGGTGGATCGAACCTCAAAAGAAGGGAAGTTAAGTGATGACGGCAAAAAGCAAGTCTAGAAATGGAAGAAGTATGCTTGAGAGGAGGAGCACCTGGTACTGGAAAGGGTGGCCAGGAACCGGTCAGTCAATACAATCCAGTGTTTTTTGTAAAGAGGCAAGTTTCTGTTAGTGCAAAAAGGTGGAAAGAATGTGAAGCAGAGAGATCTAGGACAAAGGCAAGTTTGCCAGCAAGAGAGCACAGAATCCAGACGTCACAACTGAACGGGAGGGTAAAGGGCAGAGGGCTGAGAAAGATAAGGATGATGGGTAGGAGAGAAGGTATGCCTCAGCAGATGGGAATACACCCACAACAGCACGAGGGTGTGCTCACTCTGATAAGGGCTCCCCAGTATGATGCTTTGCACACAGCCCTCCATCAATAAGGGCTCTTAAACTACTGAGAGGCCAAGTGACTCAGACTGCCATACAGTCACAGCCAACGGCAAAACTGAGACTGGAATAGGTCTCCTCAACCCCAAGCCGCTGCCCTTCCCCACTCAATTACACTCAGGCATGCTTTCAATTCTTGCCAAACAGGAGATTATCGTAGATCTACTTGTGTTACATAATTTCAATCCAAATTATAACCAGGTAAGAGTTCAGTGAAGCAGCTTGATTTTAATACAAAGAGTTTGATTTTGATTATATCATCAGCTAATTATGCAACAGATGTTCACTCAGGATAAGTAGTTTGAGTTTGAAAATCTCACTTAAAAAAATGAGAACATACTAAAGAGAAAAGAGACCAGTCACTGGCCATATCTTTCTTAAATAGATATGATTTGCTGAACAAATCACATTCATTGTTCAATCTGAATGGACTCCTCCATTCTCCCTTGATTATAAGAGAAGCGCTCTGTAAAATCCAGGGACTGATATCAAACATAAATGACTTGTGCGTAACCAGCATTCAGAGCTGGAAAGCAAACTGGAAGAAAAGAAAAATGGGTCTCAAGATGTTAGTTGCGATTCTGCAGCAAAGAATGGTGAGAAAATTCCCCCAATTCTTACTTGATTAACTTGGAAATAAGTCCCATCATCTTCAATCTGAATCTTGGCTGTGCCTTTTCCAAGTTTCTTTTCAACTTTCATAGGCTTTATGCAATCCTAGACCAGAAAAAAACACAAAACCCAAATGGTATAAAAGTGAGAAAATCACAGTAACACAGATGTATGTATGTATGCAGGACTGGAAGAGACCCGACGGGTCACCTGACCCAACCCTGCCAGTTTCCTGAAGAGGAAACTGAGGCCCAAGGTCACATAGCAAGTGAACGGCAGCCACATCCTCCTAATCCCTAGTCCAATACTCTTGACCATAACAACACCTCTCAGTAACACAGTGCCTTATGATTTAAAAGCTTTACCCCCACACCAGCCCTGTGAGGAAGGCAGGACAAACATAATATTTCCGTTTTACAGAGAAAAGTCATTTGCCCCAGATTAGTCACATAGCCAATACATGTCAGGACCAGGATTCAAACCCAGGTTTTCTGACTCCAAACCTAGAGTTCTTTTTACTATGCTGCAATGACTCCTGTCTGTAGAGGCTTCTGCACAATTGAAGAGGTCTCACATAGCTTTACTGGTTATCTTCAAATGCACCTACAAACACTGACATTATCAAATATTTGCATTAACTTTCTCCTTTCGTATTTCACCTCTCTAGCCCTTTGCCTCCTCTTTCCAACCAGTCCTGAAATAGCACAAATAAGCTAATTGCTCAGACTGGTTTTCTGCCAGCAGAAATCCTCAACACAAGATAAGAGTTGCTTACCTTGTTTTCACACTGAGAACAGTTTTCTAACATTGTCCAAGGTTATTCAGTTAAATCATAAAAGAAGCCCATGAAAGGTTCACTCTGAACTAGCCAATGTCTGCCCAGCAAATCTCTATACCACTCCCTCTAATGATCTCGACTTTCCTTTTTAACAGCAGCAAACAGGAGGTGTGGTCACTAAATTCAGGATGACAAAATGCTGCATGTGCTACTAAGAGGGAGGTCTGGGAGTAATGTTTGCATTTGAAGATCTGCAGCCATTCCACCCCCCCCACCTCCAGCCCCCATACACTAGAAAAATTTCCCTTTTTCTGTTCCTTCTCCCTAGACTCTCCATGGCTATTCGAACAGTGTCAGAAATTCTCCTTAGCTAAGATTAACAGAATTCCTTGTAGGTATTCTATTACTTAGCTCTAAGATAAAACCCGTCAGGGACAGAGACAAGCACAAAGTATAGAGCACAAAGAGCCAGGGACAAGGGCTTTAACCAAGGAGGTCCCAGGGACAAGGGTTTTAACCAAGGAGGTCCCTGGGACAAGGGTTTCAACCATAGGACAGAGAGGTCCCATTTACCCAAAAATGTATACAGAGCAACTTTTTGTGGCCGTAAAAACTGGAAACAAAGTACATGTTCAATAATTGGGACCTAGCTAAACAAAGTGTGCTATATGTATGTGACAAAATATTACTGATTCATAAAAAAAGATGAATATGAGATATTCACAGAAACATGGGAAGATATATGCACTGATGGGAGAATAAAATATGCAGGACACATATGTATTTATACAGTGACTAAAACAACGGAAATGCAAAGTACAAAAAAAACCCTAAATGTTAATTATAATGACCAAGTTTGGACTTGGAAAAACACACCCTTCCTCCCCTCTTTGCAGAGGTGAGGGACATATACTGTCAGATACCATTAATGTTTCGATTGACTTTGCCTAATTTGCTTCTATTTTCCTTTTTTTAAAAATAAAAAAAATTGCTCAATGGGTAGGGGATAGGGAAGAATGTATTTAGAAATGTCAGTGATGTAAAAACGAAAGACAGCAATAAAAACTAAGATTTTTAAAAAAGAAAACGCTCTGAATTTGGCATTAGTCCTGGGCTGAAATCCTGGTACTGTTACATACTTGGACACAGACATATATCACATCAGTCACAACAATAATTCACATTAATAACTCTGCTTCTACACTTTGCCCCTCATCAGGGATGGGCATGTTGGCACACCTTCCGGGGCTGCATAAACAGCGGCGATGACCGTTACTGAAGGTGCCCCCACGAGGCTGCGGGCACCGCGGGGGCCCTTGGCTTTGCTCCCGAGCCCGGAGCCCGGGTCCCGGCCCCCCGCAAGGCTCCGGGCCCCGAGGCCTCGGCAGCTCCTCCCAGGCTCCTCCCGGGGAAGGCGGGGTGGGCCGGCATGACCCGCGGCAGCTCTGCGCCGCAGTGACTCTCAGGCCCGGGGAGTAAACGGCCCGAAGTCACGCGGGCAGCGGCAAGGAGCGGAGCCGGCATTCGAAAGCAGAACTAGCGACCAGGCTAAAGCTTGCACGCTCCCCAACTCCTTCGTGGGGCAGGCAAGAAGCCCCGGCTTGGGGAGTCGGGGGAGCTGCGTCCCAGGGCGGCTCGCTGAGATCTTGGGAAAACTCTTTTCCATGGTTGGAACTTAGTTTTCCCCATCAGTGAAATGGGCTGAACACCGAAGAGTTGCGGCAGCAGCGCAGCTCTGCAGGAATATTACGCAGAGAAGCCCCTCCCCCGGCCGACGAGGCGTGTGGGAAAATGCCCGAGCCCATGACGTCACTAACGGGCCTTGAGTCCCACTTCGGGCGCACCCGTCCCCCCGCGTGCCGACCCTCCCCACCATCGGCCACCAGGCTTCCCTCCTGCGAGGCTCATCCCCCCCCCCCACCCCCGGAACTCCCGGCCCACCTGAGACGGCCCAATGAAGTCGTCCAGGTCCGTCAGCTGCAGCGCCCCGCTGAAGGGCGACGCCATGATGGCCACACTGCTGGGTGGCGCTCTATCTCCGACGGGACTGTCGTCAAAGGCCTTGCAGGGAGGGTCATTTCCGCCACACTGCCGTCAAGAGCTACTCACGCACGCCCAGCCTCCTCCCCCTGCCCGCCTTCCCTCCTCGCCTTTCGCCGGAGATCGTACGCGTGCGCAGTGCCTGTGCCTCGAGGCCTCTCTTGCCCCGCCCCTTTTGTAGGAGCGGCTGGTGGTGACAGTGACAATGACAGCGGGACCCTGCTGCACCCGACGGGGCCTCTTGCCCTCCCCTTCCCATTTATTAAGCACCGTCTCAGCGCAGGAGAGCCAGAGAGAGATCAGACACCAAACTACCCATGCTCATTTATTGAGCGCTTACTTTGTGACTGGGTCTGGGTATACAAATGCAAAAGTGAAATGGTCCCTGCCCTTGAGAGGCTTACAGTCTAGAGAGGGGAGACGATGTGCACACGGATAGCTATATACAGAATAGATAGTGACTCAGTGGAAAGAGCACCGGGCCTGGAGTCAGGAAGAATCTTCCTGAGTTCAAATCCAGCCTCAGACCCTTACTAGTTGTGTGACCCTGGGCAAGTCACTTAACCCTGTCTGCCTCAGTTTCCTCACCTGTAAAATGACCTGGAGAAGGAAATGGCAAACCATTCCAGTATCTTTGCCAAGAAAACCCCAAATGGGGTCACTAAGAGTCAGACAGAACTGGACAACAACAACAATATTGGGGGGTGAGGGTCGGGAGAGAAGCTAATGTCTGGAGAAATAAGAAAAGGCTTGGGGTTCTTAATCTGGAGTCCTCAAACTTGTTCTGTAAATACTCTAATAACTGTATTTAAGTATAATTGGTTTTCTTTATAATCCCAAACATGCTATTTTATGCATTTAAGAACGTTATTCTGAGAAGGGGTCCACCGACTGGACTTTGCCAGACTGCCAGAGGAGGCCAGGATGCGAACAGGGTGAAGAAACCCTCCTGTCCAAGGTGCTGCTAGAGATGAACCTTGAAAGAAGCGCAATTAGGGTTAGAGGAGAGAAGGCACATGCAGGGTGGGAGGGGTAGGTTGGGTAGGAACAGTAGGAAGGTCAGTTTGACTGGGCTTTACTGTACATGTACTGTACAAGGGCATAATGGGTGATAAGACTGGAAAGAAAGGATGGGATCCTTTTGCATAAGGACTCTAAGAGCCCAGTAGAGGAGTTTTTATTTGATCCTAGAGGTAATAGGGAGCCACTGGAGTATATGGAGTAGGTGAGCTCCATCCATGATCAGACTTGTGCTTTTGAAAATCTCTTTCTGCCCAATATAGGTTATAGATGGGCTATATTCTTGCTAAATGGGAGGCAAAGGTTGCTATATCAGAAATCAGAGCACTGAATGGCTCTGCTCAGCACAGAACAACAGAAAAGTTCACCCCAAGACCTGGGGGTCAGAGTGACACAGGTGCAGGATCACCTCTGGTCCTTTAGGGCACCAGCCCTGGACCCAACACCAGAAGGCTCTGTGACCCAGGTCCTTTCCAGCAAACATTCTCCACAGATACTGGAAGTGGGTTTCAGTGGGTGAGATGTCTGTGTCTATGATGTCAGATGGTGTCTTTTCAGGCAATCAAGGCTTAATGAGCTATGGAGCAAAATTTAATAGACTTTAAAATGAGGAGCTGTTCCTTATGCAATTCAAATTAGTTAGAGGGGGAATCATTAGCTCTCGAAGGACACACCTGTAGGAGAATTGAAGGGAGGTCCATGACTGGTGACAATTGGTTGTTCACAAGTTGAGTATCTGTAAGGTATTGTGTTTGCATCAACTAAGCTGTGACTTCCACAATACATACTGTGCATATTGTCTAGTTTGAAGTTCTATATCCTTTTTTCATAATGTATATGAAGATGCATCAAATTATTTAGGACTCCTTTTTTTCTTTTTGAAATTAAAAATTAATTTATTTTGATTTATCAACAATCACTTCCATAAGCTTTTGAGTTTTAAGTTTTTCTGCCCTTTACCCCCCTCTCCAAGACAGCATGCAATCTGATATAGGTTATACATATACATTGCTATTAAACATATTTTCACATTAGTGATGTTGTAAGGAAGAATTAGAACCAATAGGAGTTGCTGCAAGAAAGAAAACAAAACAAAACAGAAGAAAAAATAGCAAATAGTATGCTTCGATCTGCATTCAAACTCCATAGTTGTTTCTTTGGATGTGGATAGCATTTTCCGTCATGAAACCTTTGGAGATGTCTTAGATCCTTGCATTACTGAGAAGGGCTAAGTCTATCAAAGTTAGTCATCCCACAACGTGGCTGTTACTGTGTACAATGTTCTCCTGGTTCTGATCACTTCACTCAGAATCAGTCCATACAAGTCTTTCCAGGTTTTTTCTGAAATCTGCCTGCTCATCATTTCTTATAGCACAGGAGTATTCCATTACATTCATATACCACAACTTGTTCAGCCATTCCCCAACTGATGGGCAGCCCCTCAATTTCCAATTCTTTGCCACCACAAAAAGAGCTGTTATAAATATTTTTGTACATGTGGGTCCTTTTCCCATTTGTATGATCTCTTTGGGATACAACCTTAGAAGTGCTATTGCTGGGTCAAAGGCTATGCACATTTTTATAGCCCTTTGGGCATAGTTCCAAATTGCTCTCCAAAATGGTTGGATCATTTCACAACTCCACCAACAATGCATTAGTGTTCCAATTTTCACACATCTTCTCCAACATTTATCATTTGCCTGTTTTGTCATGTTGGCCAATCTGACAGGTATTTAGGACTCTTAAAATTGCAACTGTTAATGCTAGTGAATGAATTGACATTGTTTGCCAAAGAAAGTATCAAGAGAGAGCTGTAACTCCTTAAGACAAAAGCTTTACCAAAATAAGATGCCTTAAAGTCATCCCCTTTGGCCATGGCCAAGTTAAAGAGAAAATAACTCTGTTGGGAGTCAGTTCTTATTGAAGGTATATTCTGTTTAATTATGCAATCTGCTGGCTCATCATTTTACCTTATTCCCTAAACTTCTGGGAAGATGTCTTGCTGTTTCCAGAATTACAATGATTGCACCTCAACTTTAAGGTAGATTTTGTAG